GGGAAAAGATACTCTATTAAATAAATAGTGCTGGGAAAACTGGCAAGTCATACGCAGAAGAATGAAAATGACTTCTCTGCTTATACCAATATCAACTCAACATGAATCAAAGACTTCAATATAAGACCTGAAGCCATAAAAATTCTAAAAGATAACATTGGAAAAATGTTTCTAGACAATGGCTTAGGCAAAGAATTCATGGCTACAACCCCAAAAGCAAATGTAACAAAAATAAAGATAAATAAATGGGACCTAATTAAACTAAAAAGCTTCTGCACAGAAAAAGAAATATTCATCCAAGTAAACAGACAACCCACAGAGTGGGAGAAAATATTTGCAAACTACGTATATGACAAAGGACTAATATCCATAATCTGCAAGGAACTCAAATCAGCAAGAAAAAAAAAACAATCCCATCAAAAAGCAGACAAAGGATTTGAATACACAAGTCTGAAAAGAAGATGTACAAACAATCAACAAACATGTAAAAATGGTCGACATCACTAATTGTCAGGAAAATGCAAATTAAAACCACAGTGAGATACCATCTTACTCCTGCAAGAATGGCCACAATTAAAAAGTCAAAAACCAATAGATGTTGGCATGGATGTGGTGAAAAGGGAACACTATTAGACTGCTGGTGGGAATGTAAACTAGTACAACCTCTACGGAAAATGGTATAGAGACTCCACAAAGAAATAAAAGTAGAAGTACCATTCAATCCAGCAATCCTACTACTGGGTGTCTACCAAAAGGAAAAGAAATCATTAACTAAAAAAGACACATGCACACCCATGTTTATAGCAGTATGATTTGCAATTGCAAAGATATGGAACCAACCTAAGTGTCCATCAATCAATGAGTAAAGAAAATGTGGTATATATACACCATGGAATACTACTCAGCCAAAAAAAGGAATGAAATAATGTCTTTTGCAGCAACCTAGATAACAATGGAGGGCATTATTTTAAGTGAAGTAACTCAGAAATGGAAAACCAAGTATCATATGTTCTTACCTATAAGTGGGAGCTAAGCTATAAGGACGCAAATGCATAAGAATGATATAATGGACTTGGGGACTTGTGGGGGAAGGTTGGGAGGGGGTGAGGGAAAAAAGACTACATATTGAGTGCAGTGTACACTGCTAGGGTGACAGGTGCACTAAAATCTCAGAAATCAACCACTAAAGAACTTATCCATGTAACCAAAAACCACCTGTACCACAAAAACTACTGAAATAAAAATAAAAATAATTTAAGAATTTAAAAGACATATAAATAGTCAACAGATACAAGAAAAAATGCTCAATATCACTAATCAGGAAAATGCAAATTGAAACCACAGTAAGAGATTAACTTACCCGAGTTAAAATGGTTATTATATATATGTATATGTATGTATATATACATATATATATATATATATATTTTTTTTTTTTTTTTGAGACAGAGGCTTGCTCTGTTGCCTAGGCTGGAGTGCAGTTGAACTCCCACCTCTATCTCTGCTTCCTCACTGCCACTTCCAACTCTCTGGTTCAAGCAATTCTTCTGCCTCAGCTTCCTGAGTAGCTGGGATTACAGGCATGCACCATCACATCTGACTAATTTTTTTTATTTTTAGTAGAGACAGGGTTTCGCTATGTTGGCCAGGCTGGTCTCGAACTCCTGACCTCAGGTGACCCACCCAAAGTACTGAGATTACAGGCATGAGCCACCATGCCCGGTCTAGAATGGCTATTTTTTTAAAAGACAAAAAATAACATGCTGGTGAGGAAGCAGAGAAAAAGGAACTCTGTACACTGTTGATAGGAATGTAATTTAATAAAATCAGTATGGAAATTTTTCAAAAAACTAGAAATAGAACTACCATAGGCTACAGCAATTCCACTACTAGGTATTTATCCAAAGGAAAAAAATTAGATTTAAAAGAGATGTCTGCGCTTGCATGTTTACTGCAGCCCTATTCACAATAACAAAGATTTGGAATCAACCTAAATGTCCATTGATGGAAGAATGGATAAAGTCACCCCTCCCCCCCAAAAACACACACAACTTAATGGAATTACAGTAGCTTAAAAAGAAGCATAAAACGCAGCAGGTTTGTTTAGGTATAAACCCATAGCTGACAATGTTCTTTAGTACTAGTTTCTACTGTGTTGTTAATGTAAATATCCAATAAGCACGATCTATAAATTGAGATATATGGAAGTACAACAAAGAGCAAGCATTTTTTTCAACTCAAATATCTTAATTCACCAAATTGTTTTTTGAATTCCTAGTGTGCAGTAGAACCATATTGAGTACTGGGGGTGAAGGAGGGGAGTCACAAAAGGAGGTCAGGCTTTTACAGTTAAGGACCTTATGACCCAGTTAGACACACATGCAACACAGATGAAGGGACACAAGGAGATGCTGCTTAACTTGTAGTTGTCCCTGGAGAATGAGAACACGGACTAAAGCATGTGGTGAAGGTTTCCTTGTTGCACTGGGACCTATGCAGATTCTTTAGGGTTAGATAGGAACTAAATTGGTGGAAGAGGAAGGGAAGAGAATTCCTGGCCATGGGACCATCATGGACAAGGCTTAGTAATTCAAGAGTGTGTGTGATGTGTTCAGGAAAAAGTAGATCTATTTTTCTCAGGTAGGGATGTGGAGGAACTCAATGAAAATTGTTGGGAAAGATCAAAAGAGGAATGATGCTAGACAGCCAATGAATGACACATGCAGATGAGTTTGTGCTTGAGCTGAAGCATGACAGGGGATATCGGCAGGTTTTTGAGCTGTGGAATAGTGAGACAGAAGTGATGATATTACAGGGTTTGTCTGATACAGATGGCCAGAAAAGAAGCTCCCCTCATAATCTTATCCTCCCGCCCAGCACAAAAGATGGGCTGTTTACTTATCCCTGATTTACACTGAGAAAATCCTGCTATTTTCCCTATCAAAAATGAGAACCATTTATTGAATGCCTACTTCTTGCCAGAAGAAAAGCTCCAGCCTTCCTCACAATTCCAAAAGGTAGACAATAATCATCCTTGTTTATATTAAAAGATATAGGTCAGAAGGTTAAGTAATTTGCTCAAAGCCACATTTGAGGGTCAGATTTTTAACCCAGATCTTTCTGGTTCCAAAGACCATGCATCATCTATTAATATTTTCCTCATCTGTGCTTATCCAGCAAAGTGACCTATAGACTCTTTGCTATTAGGCTAAGAGTTAGCAAACTTTCCTATAAAAGGCCAGACAAATATATGTCTCATATGTAAATATATATATGTAAATATGAGACATATATATACACAGAGACATATACACACACATTTTTATTTTAGGCTGTGTAGGTCATACTGTCTCTATCACAACTTCTGTCATTGAAGTGTAAAAGCAGCCATAAACCATATGTAAACCAATGAGTGTGGCTTTGTTTCAATAAAACACACAAATTTGAATTTCATATAATTTTCATATGTCAGAAATATTATTTTAAATTTTACTGTTTGATCTATTTAATTTTTATTCTTTTCTAATGACCTACAATATAAAAACATTTCTTAGTCATGTGCTATATGAAAACGGGCAGTGGCCATTCGACTTGTGGCCCATAGCATGCCAATCCCCATTTTAGGTTTATAGATTAGAGCACTAAGCTAATGAGGCCACTGTTAAATGTCTTGTCTGCGTAAAAGAGATTGCTGTATGCCGCCAAAACTCCTGTTTTGTTGGCAATATGCAATTGCCCTGTTTCTTGTCAAGTGTCTTGCAGATTTGTAGGGGATTACAGAGGCAAAGATAGCTCAGTGCAATCTAAACAACAATAGAAAAAACAATGTATTTTCCCTTCTCACAAATGTAATGTCAAGAATATTTCTGGGGTAGTTTAGCTAAAATGTTCTAAAAATGTGTTAATTGTAGGTTTGGGATTCTAAAAATGCCTCCATGAGAAATGGCACAATGATCTTTTCCTGTTTTCTAATACGTTGTATAGGCACTCAGTAAATATTATAGCAGTCCACGGTCAGGCTAGCACTTCTGGGTTTAGTTCCATATTAGCCTGCTTTTAATTCTTTAGATCCCTGATTCACTTACTTCATTTCTTCACCCCTTAATCAGTAAACATTGCACATCTATCGTAAGTCCAGACTTATGCTGGCTGCTGGAAATTCAAAGTGGAACTCCAAAGTCCTTGCTAAAGGAACTCATGATGTGGGGAGAAGGGATATGGATGCAGCAAACCACCATGGCATGTGTACACCTAGGTAACAATCCTGCACCATCTGCACATGTACCCCAGAACTTAAAGTATAATAAAAAAGAAAAATAAAAATATAATAATCACATCATGGAAAATGGAGTATCCAACCCCTCAAGCATTTATCCTTTGGGTTACAAACAGTCTAATTATATTCCTTTTGTTATTTTCAAGCGTACAATTAATTTCTTATTGACTATAAAAAATAAAAAAAGAAATAGCAATAATATCGAATATACTAAATGCCACAGTACTGATATGTTTTGGTGCTGAGAAAACACGCACAGACGGGCTCTGCCTGCGTGAAGCAGAGAGTACCAAAGAACACTTTTAAAGAAGGGTAAGATCTGAACCAAATCTGGAAGGATACATTCACTCACGATGCTCCCATTTAGGAATGAGAACAATACTAACTCTAACGTGTTATGTAAGAGACAAAGGCAAGGGAGGGCTGTGGAGAGCCATGAAACTGTGGTCTGATCTAGTGTTGTTGAACTTGATAGTAGCTAGTAAACAAACCACATGCAAGTCCTACATATAACACATTTGTAGTGTATTTTATACACTATAGTGTATTTTATTTTCAACATTTCATAAAAAATATTGGGTAATAAAATTGAGCACAAAATTTGTAAATGGTAAGAGAACTCAAATTTTTCCCCTTAAATCTCTTTTGAAAATAATATAAGGGTACATAGTTAATTTTTACTCCTATATCCAAATATTTTGGAAAAGTAGAAATGCATTCTCACCTGAAGGATTTTCCTAATTCTTTTTAGATTGTGTATCAAGAGTAGGTTTTTCTCTTTGGAAACACGACCTAACTGTTCATCCAGTTGTATTAACAAGTTTTGTAGAAGAACTGTTGCCATGGTTTCATTGTTAGAAGCTGCCTCCCTAAAAAAATAAAGGGTTATTACACAAAGAAAACCAATTTGGTAAAATGTCTACTCTTTTACCATATTAATTTTAAAGCAATAAACCTTTACATGGTGCTAAACATTTAAAAGTTTTAAAAAATTAAATTGTAAACATGAAGAGATGTCAACGTCATTAAGCATTGGGGAATTACAAGTCAAAATCACAGAAGATACCACTTCATACCCATGAGGATGGCTACTATTAAAATGAAAAAAACAGAACATAAGTGTTGGTGAGGATATAGAGAAATTGTGCAAGGCTGGTGGGAAGGTAAAATGGTCAATCACTGTGGAAAACTGTATAGCAGATACCCAAAATATTAAACATAAAATTGCCATATGATCCAGCAATTCCACATCTGGGTATATATCCAAAGGAATTAAAAGCAGGGACTCAAACAGAAACTTGCATACCAATGTTCCTAGCAGAGTTATTAGCGATAGCCAAAAGGTTTAAACAACCCAAATGTCCATTGACAGATAAATTTATCAAGCAAAATGTGATATATACAAACAATAGAATATTATTCAGCTTCAAAAAGGCAGAAAATTCTGATGAATGAATTTTGAAAAATTACACTAAGCAAAATAATTCAGTTACAAACAGACAAATATTGTGTGATCCCAATTATATAAAGTATCTAGAGTAGTCAAATTCATAGAGACAGACAACAGAATGGTGATTACCAGGGGTTGGGGATGGAGGATTAGGGAGTTACTGTTTGAAGAGTACACAGTTTCAGTTTGGAAAGATGAAAAAGTTCTGCAGTGGATGGTGGTGATGGTTGCATAATAATGTGAATATATGTAATGCCACTGAACAATACACCAAAAACAATGGCAAATGTTATGTCATGTATATTTTACCACGATAAAAAGATGGCCGAAGCAAAATTTAAATGGTATAAGGTGAATAGAGCTTTGAAAAACACAAATCTTACTGTGAAAAAATATTGATTTACATTGTCAGTTCTCTATCACAGACTCAATCGATTGATTTGTTTCTTTTTTAAATACATAAAAAATTGTTTGGGTTTTGATTTACAGAGAAACAAAGCACTAGAACCATTAAGTTTTCATTTACAATGAATGAAACCAGAAAGGACAATGATTCCCCTCCTTCGGGAAGGCTTTTCAAATCCTTGAGAAAGTTCTTTACCTGAAAAGAATGCATCTACTGAGTCAAAAGTGGACCATAAAATAAATTCACATGGATGGAGCATAAAGCATCTGTGCATCAACTTCTAGGGAAAATATATTTGATCCTACCAGTCTTGATTTTCAATCCACTGGGCCAGCAGATGCCGAATTTCCATAGGAAAGTTGTCATCATAGAATTGATCCACCTGCTCCAAAAACTTGATTTCTAACTGTTGGACTTGATTCCACTGAGACATGCTATAAACGAAGGAGTAGAATTAGAGTTTTAAAATATTGTTCATAGCTCTACTACATATTTTCTTCTTTATTTGGAATTCAGTCAATATTATGACTGAATTCCAATATATCCAAAAATGCAAACATTTCTCTAAGGCTTTTTTTCATAATCCAACCCTAATGAAGGGACCAGCCTTCTTTCTGTGCCTCCAAACTACAGCTTTCCTTGCTCTAACATGAACTCCTGTTCCACCTGCTCCAGGAAGCTTTCACTCCTGCTCCCCCAAACACCCCACATCCTGCCCACAGCTGTCTACATCAATTTGTTTTATCAACAAGCCGTTTCCCTATCTCTTGCCCCCTCTACACTTAGACTTGGAGCAACTTGAAGGCAAACATATTTAACATTTACTATACCTTTAAAGCCCTCTAAGACTTTATATATGAAGAGCAACCTCCCAAAAAGCTTCTTTTATATAAATTTGTCAAATTTCTTTATTTCAGATTTGTCTGGCTTCTAGAGTCAGATTTATGTTCCTGACTTCTAGTCCAATTCTGTCTTAGCTTCATTAAGAATTTTATGTATGCATTTTCATAGGCTCTAGTTTAATTAAAAATATTTCTGAACCAATGAATGTGTTTTATTTCTCTCTATGAGGATCCCCTATGGGTGGGCAAAGCTCTTAAAAAGATGCAGTCTTTTTGTCTCTGAGAAACATCTGATAGCGGTTAAACCCTCAAGTTACTTAAGGATTAAGAAACCACACTTGATACCTATTTGGCAGCCTGTCATAAAACAAAAGCACGTATTTCCCCCTTGCAACCCCTCTCTGGCCAGATTAGAAGCTGTAGACATATTTCCTAACTCAGGAAAATCAGTATGATGCTGCCTCCTTGAAATTACAGCATTTTACATTTTCCAAAGTCAAACTTTTTATTGTTTCATCAGCAATTCTAAGTCAAATAAAAACACCAAACCCTCTTTTACATGATTAATCACCATAACATTTCAACATATCTTACAGACAGCCTAAGGTTCCTTTTGCCTATAGAACACCAGGATAATTTCATATATTTCATATACATATTCTTCAGGTTTCAAATAGAATCATTTTGAGCACCTGTTCCCTGAGCACCCAGTAAATGATTTAAAATTTATAGAAAAACCTGCTGCCAATGTTTTGCTAAAGAGAAAGCAAGTGAGAAAAGAAGTAATGTTTTATTTGCACATCACTATATATTTATGAAAACGTTTATACTTTCCAATTCTAGGCATATTGTAAGTGCTTAATCATGGCTTGTAAAATGAAGAATGAGTGGCACTCTTGATGTTGCTATGAATCGCGTAGATGGATATAAGTAGTATGTCAACTTTAAAAAGACAAACTTAAAGCTCAAATAGGTGAAATGATGCCTGCCTAATGTGTGAGGCTTCTAAGGGGCAACCCGAGGTTCCCTGAGCCTGAACCATTTGTCTTTCCAGATGCTAGATGTGTATATACACCACGCAAAATTGGAACATTTGTTCCCATGCTACTGTCAACATCGTCCTACCAGTTTATTTTAGTTAATGACAACAGAGAACATGAGCTGAAAATAGCATTACAATTTTTTATCATACTATTGTTGAACCCCAGCTATGAGTTGGATGAAAATCTATTTTCTAACTAAAACTTACAGGTAGGGAGGAATAAGCTCTGGTGCTGTAACACTAGGATGAATATGGTTAACAATAACTTAGTGTGTATTTTCAAAAAGCTAAAATAGAGGATTTTGAATGTTCACAACATAAAGAAATGATCAATGTTTGAGGTGATGGATATGCTGATTATCCTTTAATCATAGCACATCGTATGTATATATTGAAATATCACTCAATACTCCATAAATATTTACAGTTGTGTGCCTAATAAAAATAAAAGAAAAATTTAAAAAATAAAAATAAGCACCAATAAAAAAGACTACCAAAATCTGGGTATTGCGGAGAGCTGAATTCAAAGCTGAAAAAAGGAAGAAGAATGAATACATAGTCCTAGGACACTCTCCATCGCAGCCTCTTGGAACGCCTTTAGACATCCTTCAGCAGATTTCTTTGCTTTCACTCCCTAAGTGCTACTTCTTTCTTGTGAAAACTGTACATTGCCTCTGAAAACTGAGTGCCTGTCTGTTCTTTTCGCCTGCAGTCCCTAGAAGACCCTCTAAAGGGGCATTTTGTCCCACTGTCTGGGAGCTGGAGGTGCCGCGTTGGCTCTGTGGCTTATAGCTTGCAAAAGGAGATGACCTGCCCTAAAATGTCAGTCGTGCTCATCAAAGCCACAGTCACAGGCTGCCGTAGCTGCAAGCTTTTTTTTTTCTGAAACCTAGATAAGTCAATCTAAAGTCAGGCAACACAGCTCTAGAGAAGCTGTCTGAGAAAGTGAAGAGGGGCTCACTTTCAGCCTCGGCGAGGACACACCTCCGCAGACGCCGCAGCTCCCCCGGCCCCGTCTGGGAGATTCGCCCGGGCACCGTGGCGCGGGCCTGCGGGGCGGTCTCCGCGGAGAACCTGTGCCAGGGCGCATCTGTGGGTCGTGGAGTAGGAGGCTTCTTCGTATAACAACCCCTCCTTAGGCAGGTTAAAATGAAGCCACTGTCAAAAAGCCCAGGGAAAGCAAAGCTTCAGAGCATCCTGCGTAATAAGCGTGTCCTCCTAGGGAGAGGCAGCCAGAAGGTGTGGTCTGGCCACTTACCTCGCGCTCTCTCAGCACAGGTCCCAGGCGGTGCTCACGTCCAAAGTCAGAAGCGCCCCTCACAGTCCCTAGGAGAAAGCCGCTGACGCCATCGTCAGTAGGAGATTTGCATATCTCCTCCCACTTGAGGCTTTCCTGTGCGTCAGTGTTCGAGTCTCTGGGACTTTACTTGGGTCAGTTCCCACCCACTCTTTATTCTAGAAACGCTGACACGCAGAAAAAGCCAGGCTGAAGCCCCTTCGCCGGGCGTCCTCTTCCCTCTTATCCCTGCCAGCCGCTCCCACCAACTGCAGGTGGCTCAGGAGAGCCAGGAGAAAGGGGAAGGGCGGAGCACACATTTTTCTTCAGTGGTTTCCTTAGACAATTCGAGATCCGCTGCAGTTACTTACCTGGAGCTCAGTTCTTGAGCTTCCTCTCTCTCTAGTCTAAGACTCCAGTCAGCCTGGTGAGCCAGCCCCTGGGATGGAAGGGGTGGGTAGCCAGGATCGCAACACCAAACTCATAGACCTTACTGGGCTCCAATTCCAGCGGGGTCCGCTCACTTGGAGGAGGGTGACCTGATGTAGAGGTTTAGGCCAACTTCTGGGTAGGCCACCAGTGCGCGCCTTTCCTGGCCCAGCCTCCTCTGCTCTCCCTGAGCAGCCCTGCTCCTGGTTGCTACGGTGCACTCTCCTCCCTTTTTGACATCAGCCTGTTCTAGAATCATAGACTTGGAGGAAGTCTTAGTCCCATCTAATGCTAAACCCTCTTTCATATCTGAAGAGGCCCAAAGAGGTCACCAAGATGACTCAGTAAGTTATCGGTGGAGCCACACAAGAGCCCAGGTGTTTCCCTTTCCACCGCTGGTCTTTTCATCTCATCTCCTTGTAACTAGACGTTAACCCCTTGATTCACAGTAGGGGTCCTATAAACATTCAATAAAATCAAGACAAGGCCAGGTGTGGCGGCTCACACTGTAATCCCAGCACTTTGGGAGGCCGAGGTGGGAGGACAATTTGAGCCCATGAGTTTGAGACCAGCCCAGGCAACACAGAAAAAACTCCACTGTATTTTTAAAAAATCAATAAAAATGTTTAAAAAAGTAAAAGTAGTAAAATAAAGACAAAAATAAAGGCTGACAGACAGACTGAAAGAAAGTGCCGCTCAATTTGATTATACACATACTTAGAGCAATATTCCAAGGTGAAAGGCTGCCTCCCCCTCCTGCTGTGACCAATATCACACAGGTGCACTCTGGATCCTTCTCTCCCAGGTGACATCATTATCATGTGCTTAAACTTACCACCCACCCCCAAATAGGTCAATCAACCCAAAGTCACACTTTCCACATCACTCTAAATTTCCTGCTTGTTCAGTGGGCAGTTTCAGGAGTTTATGCTGCTCTGACCCTTCATGAGAAAGCGCCAATTTCAGGCTATTCCGTAAGCTACTGAGCAAAGTCTGATTCTCTTCTGGGGAAGCCATCACTGCCTACAGGAAAAAAAAATCCAAATTCTTGGCACTTTAAGTTTTGTGCAGTTTGGCCCCAACCTATCTAGGAAATTTTTCTCCCCTTTATAAGAGCCCGTGATGTGACCCAAAACAGTCACCTCGGCTGCCCAGATTAACCTGAGATTTCACTACTGATGCTTTCTGCAACTGGATATTCCTCTCCTAGCCTACCTAGTGAAATCCTATAGTTCTCAGTGAGGACTTCCTGATGACCTGAACCCACAGCAGTGTTTCCCTGCTCCAAATTCTTGTAATACTTCCTGCCCAAACCTGTGCACTCCAAGAGAAATAAAATGCAAGCCACATATGTGATTGTACATTTTCTGATAGCCACATTAAAAAGGAAAAAAGCACAGGTGAAATTAATTTTAATATTGTAAATAACCCAAAATATACAAGGATCTTAACATTTTGGCATATAATCAACATAAAAATCATTAATAAGGTACTTTGCCTTCCTTATTTCATACTCAATCTCAGAAGTCTGGTGTGTATTTAGCACTGGCAGGGCATGTCAGTTAGGACTAGCCACATTCCAAGCCACATGTGGCTAGTGGCTACCATGTTGGACAGTGCACATCTAGACCACTCATTTAGCACTTTTCACTTCCTGCCTCACAGTGTTAGTCACACTGGTTTCACACGTCCTTATCATTATCGTAGTCAATTGTTGAGGGCCTGCTGTACAAAACAGAGAGTTTGTTTTCTTCCTCCTTTTCAGGGCCTTACCTTGGGACTCCCACAGCAGTTCTTAATCCGTTTGTTCTCAAGACACCATTATTCCCTTAAAAATTGTTGACAACCCCAAAGAATGTTTGTCTATTACTGTTCTGGATGAAATTTGTATTTACTGTGTTAAAACTTAAATCTGAGAAAAAAATTAAAATATTTAATTTATTCCTTTAAAATGATAATCATAAACCCACTATGTGTTAAACATGTTTTAAGAAAAAGTGTATCTTCCAACACAGAAAACTTAATGAGAAGTGTGGCATTAAAAAAATCTCTTTACTGTCTGCTTTAAGAGAAGACACTGGATTCTCATATCTGTTTCTGCATTTAATCTGTTGCAAAGTATTATTTTGTTGATGTGTTTAAAGGAAGTATGGACTCACACATTTATGTAGTTGGAAAAGGCGAGTATTATAATGACCTTTTCAAATAGTGTGATTATTATTCTTTGATAGCACACCAAAACTTGGCGAGTGGCAGTTTCTGAAGGGCTAGTTGCATTGTGAAATCTGAAACCTTATCAATATACTCAATGTATACTCTTACATACAAATACTTTGTTTTGTCTATTTTGAATGAAACTATTACCCACAAATTATTTAGCAATGTCAGACACTGGTCATTGGAAAAATATTGGTCCACTGATGTATGCAGATTTTCTAAATGCTGACACATTTCATCATACAATATTCAGAAATTCATGTCAGGTAATAATCAATGTTGATCTCATCATATAAGTATTTTAAGTACTGGGAAACTATCAAGCTCATGATGATGGATACAAGCTCTCCAAATTCTCATTTTTGCTCGAAAGCTCCAATTTTATTATTGGCAACAGATACTGCCAGTTGTTTTCCTTAAAGAGACAGGCTCATCTTGGCAACTCAGTCATATAAGTGCTTTTCCTTGAGATGACCATCATCTTTTAACATGTGTCTTTTCTACTTCATTAAAAAGAATATTAAAAGACATGTATTTAAGATCTGAGATTTAATAAAATTAATAATTTTTACTGCTCCATCAAAAACATTATTAAGTCAAACTGGCATTTAAAAATTTTTATTGTAAGTGCATGGTGGTGAAAGAAACAAATCCTAGTACAATTTGTCACCACTTCCTTGCTTTGTGCCAAAGCACCATTGCTTTGGTACCATTGGTGCAAATGTCAACAGAGTGAAAAGACAAAATTGTATTAGTATTATTATAAAAATAGTATAACCTTGCAGATGCCCTACAAAGATCTTGGGGACCACTCCCAGGGATCCGCATATAACACTTAGAGAATCTCTGCTCTATTTTCCATATGCTGCCAGCTGTAACTTGTTTATCCAGAGATGTCTATCATGAGGGACTCTCTGCACAAATACACACCTTTTTTTTGGTTAAAGCATCTGCCTTGAACCTCTGTCTTCCTCCTCTATTTCATGAGCAGAGCAAGACATCTAGGAAAGGGCACTTCTATGTCCATTTGATTCTCTTTCTTAGAATCAAAACTAAATAAGCAGGTCCTCAATTTTTTGGCCCTGCATGGTCCCTGCCCTCTTCAGTCCCTCAGAGACAAAGATATAAAACAATTCAAAGGTTAGGCATGGTGGCTCATACCTGTAATCTCAGCACTTTGGGAGGCTGAGGAAGGTGGATCATCTGAGGTCAGGAGTTTGAGACCGGCCTTATCAAACATGGAGAAACCCTGTCTCTACTAAAAATACAAAAATTAGATGGGCCTGGTGGTGCATGCCTATAATCCCAGCTATTTGGGAGGCTGAGGCAGAAGAATTGCTTGAACCCGGGAGGCGGAGGTTGCAGTGAGCCCATATCGTGTCATTGCACTCTGGCCTGGGCAACAAGAGCAAAACTCCATCTCAAGAAAAAAAAAAAAAAAAAATCAAAGTAAAATGAAGAAACAAACCAAATGCTAAAATAAAACCCCGTAAGGTTTTCCAAATTCAAAGGCCCCCACAGATTCCTGTCTCCTTTCTAAAACAGCCACACAGTTGCCCTGGTGATAAGCCCTATATCTAAGTTTTTGCTGTATCATCCTTAGAAGAAAATCCCAGATTAAAGACTTTCAGAAAAGCAGATTCTAGTTCTGGTGTTCCAATTTCAACTTCTCTGAGCCCAAAACTCCCTGTCTATAAAAGTGGGGATATTACATCCCACCTGAAATTGCTGTGAAGAGTCAGAGATATAATGTAGGAAATGGCATCAGGTTAAATGCTCAATCAATAGCTGTTAATAATAGAATAATAAGTTATGAGGAACTTTGGCAGTCACCAGCATAACCCTCCAGCTTCCCTTGGCTCCTTGCTGTACAGATCAGAAATGGAGATGAAGAGAGGCCAGCGAGATAGGCAGGTTCACAGTTGTAAATAAAAGACAGGGTGGATTCAAAGCCAGTTCTGACTGTGCTTCTCCCGCTCTGCCCAGTGGAGCTGCTTTTGTGAGAAACAGAGGGAGGAAGAGAAAGCATATCACTCTTGCTGCTGTCGGGAAGTAAACCAGCTCCACCTTCTCCCAATTTTTGTACAAAGAATATAAACATTTGCTGATTTTCAGTTTCCTCTTAAGTGTCCTGAGGAAACTGGGGTGAGCAGGAGTTGGAGGTTGGACAGACAATATGTATTCACAGAAAGATGCATTGAGTTCCCTGGTAACATACGTTAGCAACAAATAAGTGGGACTGTGAGGATTATTGGGATAAGATGATCTGGTGCAAATTTCATCAATTCACCTGTGTGCAGGTTGCTCTAGCTCCATCAGAACAGGAACATTGTCTTGCAAAAGGGTTTAATTATCAATCGTGTTAGTTTTCTGAAGTCCAGTTCCCAATGACTGTGCTCCCTCTACTGCCACTCAGAAGCATTGCAATTTACAAATAACTTGTTTACCTCCGTGCCAGACATAGTGCCAAGGACTTCACATGCATTGTTTTAGTTAATCTTCACAACACTCCTCAGGATTAAGTATTATGATTATCTCTAATTGGCAGATAAGGAGACAGAGGTTTAGTGAGCTCTAGTGAGGCTAATCAGAGGTTTACTGAAAATCTTATCTGCTCTTATGAGAAAAGCTGTAACTTGCTCAGAGAGCCATAGAGGAAGTACGTTTGATAACTTAAACATGAATTCCAAACAAGAGAGGATCATTGCATAGTCCAATCTTTTGGCTTCCCTGAGCTACATTGGAAGAACTGTCTTGGGCCAAACATAAAATACGCTAAAGCTGACAATAGCTGATGAGCTTTAAAAAAATCTCATAAGGTTTTAAGAAAGTTTACATGTTTGTGTTGGGCCGCACTCAAAGCTGTCCTGGGTCGTATGCAGCCCATGGGCTGGATGCACTTGGACTACAGTTTTCTTTTCTGTAATGTCTTCTGGAAGCTTGGATAGAATTGGTATTATTTCTTCCTTAAAAATGTTTGAAAAAAATCACCCGTGAAG